GCGCCTTCAAGTTGTCTACTGACCTATGGCAACCCTATGAATTTCATACGGTTTTCTTAGCCAAGGCATACTTAGAGGTGTTTTTGCCAGTTCCTTTCTCTGAAATGTAGCTTACATCACCTGGCATTTGTTCATAGTCTCCCATCCAAATACTAATCAGGACTAACCCTATCTAGCTTCCAAGATTAGACTGGATGTTGTGCATTTAGGGTATTTAGGCCCTTCCTAGGCTCAAGACTCTATTCCAAATAGCCACCGGCCAAGAATTTTTGCAACAGGATACCTCGTCCTCCTTTGTCCCTGACATACCGATGAAGCCTGAGCTCTTGACTCCTTGTTTTCTCCCCAGATGTCCCCACTAAACAAAAAACAAAGAGAGCTGCATAATCCCAACTCTGGCACTTGATCCATCTAAATTCCTTTATTGTGGGAGCCCTTGTATCAGGCCAACTGATACGACACAATATTCTCTGTTGCAAGATTTCAAAACCCAGAAGATATGTTTGCAGGCAGAATGTTGCTGAATCTGAGAATCATAGAAGTTGGAAGGGACTGCAAGGGCCATGCATTTTGCTTTACATGACTATTGCAATGTGCTCCTCTTCAAGGCCTGTCCTTGAAGAGGAGCATCACTTGATGCTACCTGTAGCAAGCAGCTAAGATTCTTCCCCTATGCTAGATACATTTACTTGGGAATAACGCTGCATCAAGTTGTCTACAATGACAGTTAACCTGTTCCGTCTCCTAACAGGAATTCCTCAGAGATGCCTATTTTAGCATTCAAACTTGCAAACTAAGCCTGTTTTCCATCTGAGGTCCCATTACAAAAGAAAGCATACTAAATGCAAGAGGCATAGGTGAAGAACACCACATATTGCTACAAACAGGATTCTTTCATTGCTTGGGGGAGCATTTCTTCTAAAGACAGGCTAAACATATATCTTACATACAGTGAGTCCTTGGTATCTGCTGCAGTTTAGATCCAGGAACACACACACACCAAAATCTGTGGATGTTCAAGTCCCATTATATACAATGGCATAATGAAATGGTGTCCTTTATACAAAATGGCAAAATCAGGGTACTGTATTTTTCATTTTTCTGAATACTATCAAGCTGTGGATGGTTGACTTCGTGGATACCAAATCCATGGATACAGAGGGCCGATTGTATTAAGTTCCCTTCCACTGGGAAGAAAGAATATCTAGGTCTATACAGTTACCTTATCCCCTATCCAGATTTCACATTCCTCCTGGAGAAGGGACACCCTACATTTTGAGAACCACTACCCTTTCTATGACAGAAGTTACATGCATGGAAAATATAGATCAGTGGCAAGATCTTGGAGGACATCAGTTTGCTGTGCATTCCTTAAACTACCATATATACTCAACTATAAGTCGACCTCATGTATAAGTCAAGGGCAGGTTTTGGGGCCAAAATTATGGACTTTGATGTGACCTATGGATAAATTGAGGGTAATACTTAGGGGCATGTCACAAAGGATCTAAAGGACGAAGGACAGGAGAACAAATGCCAAAGAACTTAGAAAATTCCAGCAGGCATAACTGTGGTTGGACTAAAGGCTGGATGGATGAGAGTAGAAGGGTGATAGTGCTTCCAGGACAGATAACACTCTTGTCTTTCACCAGGGAATAGTCCCTTTAAAAAAAATAAGAGTTAAAGTACAGTACCTATATTAATCAATGGATGAGTCAACTCAGATTTTTTGGGTCAATTTTTTGACTTAAAGTTCTAGGCTTATACATGAGTATATACAGTAGCTGTGTTGCTCTCAGGTGCAGCAAAGAATATTACTCTGCTATCCATGGTGAAGTAAGATGCAACTGCTAGTCTTGTGTATGCAACTGGGTTGGGAATCTTGCCCTCTGCCTCAGGCAGCAAATGTTTTGAGTCAGCCATGACATGCTCTACAATAGACATTCCTCCCCTGCCTGCTGCCCATTTGGACAATCACACAAAAACTGAACAATAATGACCTTCAAGCCAGAGGAAAATCTCTCTTGGTCCAATTAACAAAGATTCCTTCCTCTTTGGCCCATTCTCTATTCTATTTGCTAAATTCACAGGCAATGATTCATCAAACCAGTTATTATTTTTTTCCAGGCTAATGTTTTCAGAAGTTGAGGAATAGCATCACAACTTTGTGGTCAAGATCTGAAGAAAGAATATTTGGGAACGTGACCCACTGGATGGTATTATGCTTTGGGACATGTTTATGGCTTGTTTTTGTTCCTATTTCAGTTAACCTTCATGATAAATTATCCATGGCTTTTCTTGTTGTCTCCTGGTAGCTTGGTCTGTAAAAATAGTTCCAAAGAAATGAATGCAAACAGAGGAAAAACAAGCCGAGATAATTTCACATGAGAGAAAAGAGCAGCTTGGGAAAGCTGCTTTGTTGAACTAGAACTACCAGAATCCCCTTGGGCCAGGCAGGCTGGGAGATTCTGGGACCTGGAGTCCAAAAGAGTTCAGGGTTGTGTTATACTTTTATTGGGTTTCCTAAAATGCCATAAGAGAGCCAATGTGGTGTAGTGGTTTGAGTGCTGAACTAGGACTCTGGAGATCAGGGTTTGATTCCCTGCTTGGCCATGAAAATCCATGGGTGACCTTGGGCAAGTCACACACTCTCAGCCCTGAAAAATTCTGTGATAGGTTTCCCTTAGGGTCTCCATAAATTGGAAATGACTTGAAAGCAACAACAAACAACAAAATGCCATAAACATAGCAGACTTTTGAATGAACAAGCATGGTGGATGGTGCAAAAACTTAAGGGCTAATAGAAGGAACAGAAGTCCAAAATCTGGCCAGATATAAGGGCCTTTGTCCCTGAAGGCACATTGCCTTCCAACTGGAAACTGGAGAGTGTCAGTGAAGAAAAAAGATGCTGAATAATTGGTTAAAATAGCTCTCCTCTCTATAGACCTAAAAAGGCTTCTGGTAACCTGAAAGCTGTCCATGGTGTCCAAAAGCTAAGTTCTAATCCCCCAAAATCACTTTCCTCAGCTTAGGTTGATCTGAGACCTGATACTAACAATCAATAGATGTGCTCCCTTGACCTTCATAGAGGAAAACCAAGATGATGAAAATGAGGATGAGGATGATGACAACAATGGCAATGATGGACTTGCTAAAGACTTTGAGGTCTGATTTTAACCAGCTCTGCCCATCGGCATGGTATTAAATTGCCTTAAATAATCTTATTTTAACTTGTCAAATTGTTGAATATGCTTCACCATGTGTTGCCCTTTAATCTCATCATACAGGATGGAGGTATCAATATTTTAATAATAAACAATCAAACAAATAAGTAAGTAAATCAATAATACTTCCCCAAGCTTGCCACTGAATACTGGGGACAGTGGAGTATGCAAAGTAGAATCACTTGGATGTGGTTCAGGATTCTGATTTGCACAGATGTCATGGCAGATTTTTATTTTCCAAGAACAAACACGTCAGGCACAAATTTGGAGCATAGAAGGGAAGCGTGAAGGGCAGGATAAAATCATGAAAGCCGGGTTGTAGAATCATAGAAACAAAGAGTTGTAAGAGGCCACAAGGATCATCCAGTCCAGTCTCTACCTGGCTTCCAGGATTTAGGTCCTGGATCTCTTCACAAGTGTAAACATCCCTGACTTACAATGCTATTCTTCCTCCTTTTCTGTTTGGCCTATTTCTCTTGAAAAGGTTACACCCCTCTATTCCTATATTCCAATTATGAGACTCATCCCACCAGGTTTCAGTGATGCCTATTATATTGTATTTGCTTTGTTGTGCTAGGAGTTCAAGTTCATCTTGTTTATTTCCCATGCTCTGTGCATTAGTGTAGAGACATCTAAGACCATGGTGCCTGTGCAAAGTTTCTTCCCTCCCACTGTTGGGTCCTTGCACTATTTGCCTTGTTCCCTCTATAACAGTTTGACTATTATCTCCAACCTTTGATGAACTCCTGCCTTCCAAAATGTTGTCTCTCTCCCCACATAACTCACTTTAAAGCATGTTTAAACTCAGTTATGTTTTGACTGTCTCATCCAAACTCGGGTGCCCTGCCTTATTCACTTTGCTTCATTTAAACACAGCTTTCATTATCCACACAGCAGTTCACCATTTTGCAGCCGATGCAGGGTAAAAAAGGGAGCCTTAGAAATGAAATCTTTGGAGGAGTTCTTTTCAAAACACACCCTCCCTCTTTCCTTTCTATACAATCATGTTTTTCCATCTCTACTTCTCTTGGTATGCATTCTAAATTTGGCAGTTTGTTTTGAAACGATGGAGAAACAACACTGCACACAAAAACTCCGGTGACTTAAAAATACCCGGGGAACATTTCCGGACAAGCTCTAGCTCTCTACTTTCCCCAAAAGGTTGATAGAGTAGTTGCTCACATCCAGGTCTCCCCAAAGGCTCAAGGGTCCTGCCTTTTCTGCCTTTTCTTCTTACATCAATCCTTGCACCTTGCCTCCCCAACCACATTAGGCACCCAGCTTTGTGCTTCTCCAACTTGAGGGTCTGATTCATTTGCCACAAGGAGTCATTTTTCTATGCCGTTAGTAGGGTTCCCAGATTGCAGATTCTGCCCCAATTCTCAAGGTGAGGGGGAGGAATCTCAAGGCTATAATGTGTCTGTATCTATCCTTCATTTGTTAGTCACTGGGCTCTTCCAAACTAGTCTAAAGAAGCATGCGTTCTCACAGTAAAGCATGCTGCACTTTGCTGGTTGTTGCCACCTCTGTATCTCTCAATTCCTCTCTTTTGGGGAACTGTTTATAGCAATTTCTTGGGTCTCCACAAGGGCTCTTCCAAAGTCTGTGTTTTCTTTATAAACTTGGAGGCATGGTTTCCTGAGATGATCTTATGGCTTGAAGGCCAATTTTCCTCCTCCTTTCTTGTGGTTTTTTTATTTACAAAAAGCATTGTAATGCTAGAGTGCAAATGTGCCATTTCACCGATCCGCTGATGCACTACAACCATGAGATGGATTTATTTAGTATTCTGAGATGTCTTGAAATAAAAAAGAAACCCACTTGAAGGTAGTATTCAAATGTCGTAGCTACTGTCGGGTCTTGTCTAAATTACTTATAAAGCCTAAATTCCCCCTGGGCTCGCTGCATGCTGTTTACAATATGCAGACCCCAAACTTTGGATCGGGTCCATTCTGTTTTCACAATGTCCGGATCCGATTTGGTGTTTCCACCCCTTGTTCTGCATTTGAAAGACTCAAGAGGAAAAGAGTAATGAGTAGAGCAATGAAGCCTTACCTAGGTTGGGATCATATTCGCTTATAAACCTCTTGGTTAGAAACTTCACTGTCAGAGCTGGAAGAAAGGAGAGAGAAGAGGAGAGGTTGATTATTCGTGGCGAATCCTTGTCCAACAGCAAGATATTCCAGTTAAAGCTAAGACAAAAGATCCTACACCTTCCAACATTTCACAAATGAAAACAGAGAAATGTGTGACCAAGCAACATCTGAGTGTGATCAAGATGGAAAAGGTTATTCATAAGGAAGAGCACACAAGCCAGGAGAGGCTGCAGCAGTTTGCTTTTTCCTCTGTCTACAGGGAAAGGCAAGATTCTGCCTCCTCTTCTCTCCCTACTGAGTTAATTGAGTGCAAATAGATGGCACTTTGAACTCAGTTTGCAGCAACTGAAGTATGCTGAGGACAAAGGGGGGAGGAGGAAAGGAAAGCCTGGACATTTTAAAAACAGCTGGAAAAGTGGGACAACCGAAGATTAATTGGGACTGGCCAGGCCAAATCGGGACAGTGGAGGGTAGGGCATTATGCAACTATTCCATCATCTTTGGTCAAAAAATTTTGTGGAAAAGAAAAAGAAAAGCCAAAGAGCAGAAAGAAAATGATGGCATCCTATCTCACCTTCCCTTTGAAAATCCATTACTCATCTCACCTGGTAGTAGACCTAGATCCCTATGCATTTCACCCCAGCTTAGTGTGACTGTCTGTGTTCATTCTCTGCCCTTGGAGGGACCTGTTGCCAAGAAAGTAGTTTATTTCTCAACACTATGGGCTAACAAGGCATTCCCTGTATAGTTTTTTGTGGGTTTTTGGGGCTGTGTGGCCACGTTCTAGAAGAGTTTCCTTCTGACGTTTCGCCAGCATCTATGAAGATTCTCTGAAGATGCCAGCCACAGATGCAATGCAGAGGGCATGGGGCATTAATTAATAATAATAATAATAATAATAATAATAATAATAATAATAATAATAATGCTGGTGAAACGTCAGAAAGAAACTCTTCTAGAACATGGCCACAAAGCCCCCAAAACCCACAAAAACTATGGATGCTGGCCATGAAAGCCTACGACTTCACATTCCCTGTATTTTTCCTGTGGAACCTTGGCCTCTTTCATTTGCTTCATAGATGGAAACACTTGGAGATTATCACTTGGCATTTTAAACTGGTTTACCTTTATCTGGCTTAATTTTAATTCAGGCGGCATCCTGATCTTATCAGACTTTTTTTGCCACCAAATTTGCCACATGAAGACAGCCGGGGTCCATCCCCGCTTCCAGGAGCGCTCCTCGCAGCTCTTTTTGGATGTGGGAGTTTTCCAGCTTAAGAAAATGGCCATGAGGAGCGGCTCTGGAAGCAGGAATGGACCCTTAGGGCAGCAAATTCAGCGGCAAAAAAACGCCTGATAAAATCAGGGATGCCGCCTGAATTAAGATTAAATGAGTTAGAGGTAAACCAGTTTAAAAAGCCAAGCGATCATCTCCAAACTTGTCTCTCTTCAGTGTGGCTGGCACCAACGCCTGGCATCCCTGGGATCTCAGGGTCCCAGAGTCTTGGCTGGACCTAGCGCTAATTCCTGATCGGAGGGCATTTTCTTTGTTTCTGACAATACCCTCAAAATGGAGCATTACCAGGTGGAAAGGAAGGCAATAGACAGTTAAGTGCCTCTTCCAGCCCCTCACAAATCCTAGAGAAGTCTGCCATTTGGAAGAGGGGACAGTTTCCCATCAGGCAAAACTTTGCAAAAGACCTCCTTTAACTCATTCTTTGCCCATCCTGGCTGTTGGAGTCACCCTGCCTAACCAAAAGGCTAAAGCAGAGGATTTCTTGAATCCATATCAACCATCCAACCCTCAAATGCCCACATTATTAACCCACACTCATCCTCCCATCAACCACCAACCTACAAATGCCTAGTGATCTTTTCAAGTCTTTTGCTCCAAGTCTCAAGTCAAATCTCTACCTCCAAGTCTCAAGTCCTTGAAGGATACTTTCAAGTCAAGTCTCAAGTTGAGTCTCAAGTCTGGGAGCCAA